GACCCACCGAGACCATCCTGCCCTCAGCAGATCTGGGGCAGTTTAGGGGAGATTTGGGGCAGTTCAGGGTGTGTTTAAGCCCCCCAGGACCCTGAAGCCCCCAGACCCACCGAGACCATCCTGCCCTCAGAAATCCAGGGCAGATCTGGGGCAGTTTAGGGCAGATTTGGGGCAGTTTAGGGCAGATCTGGGGTAGTTTAGGGCAGATTTGGGACAGTTTAGGGTGTGTTTAAGCCCCTCCAGGACCCCGAAGCCCCCAGACCCTCCGAGACCATCCTGCCCTCAGAAAGCCAGGGTAGTTTAGGGCAGATTTGGGACAGTTTAGGGGGGGTTTAAGCCCCTCCAGGACGCCGAAGCCCCCAGACCCTCCGAGACCATCCTGCCCTCAGAAAGCCAGGGTAGTTTAGGGCAGATTTGGGACAGTTTAGGGGGGGTTTAAGCCCCTCCAGGACGCCGAAGCCCCCAGACCCTCCGAGACCATCCTGCCCTCAGAAAGCCAGGGTAGTTTAGGGCAGATTTGGGGCAGTTTAGAGCAGATTTGGGGTAGTTCAGGGTGTGTTTAAGCCCTCCAGGACCCCGAAGCCCCCAGACCCACCGAGACCATCCTGCCCTCAGAAAGCCAGGGCAGTTTAGGGCAGATTTGCAGCAGTTCAGGGTGTGTTTAAGCCCCCAAGAGCAGATCTGGGGCAGTTTAGGGCAGATTTGGGGCAGTTCAGGGCAGATTTGGGGCACTTTAGGGGCAGCTTAGGGCAGTTTTGCAGCAGTTCAGGCTGTGTTTAAGCCCCCCAGGACCCTGAAGCCCCCAGACCCACCGAGACCATCCTGCCCTCAGAAAGCCAGGGCAGATTTGGGGCACTTTAGGGGCAGCTTAGGGCAGTTTTGCAGCAGTTCAGGCTGTGTTTAAGCCCCCCAGGACCCTGAAGCCCCCAGAACCACCGAGACCATCCTGCCCTCAGAAAGCCAGGGCAGATCTGGGGCAGTTTAGGGCAGATTTGGGGCAGATCTGGGGCAGTTTAGGGCAGATTTGGGGCAGCTTAGGGCAGATTTGCAGCAGTTCAGGCTGTGTTTAAGCCCTCCAGGACCCCGAAGCCCCCAGACCCACCGAGACCATCCTGCCCTCGGAGGGCATGAAGGCGGGCCGGCCGCTGAGGCGCAGCTTGGTCTGCAGGGTGTTGAAGTTGATCTCGAGCTGGCACTTCTCCTGCACCTTGGGGGGTTTGTGCACGCGCCGGTACTCGCGGAAATCCTCCAGCTTCTGCTGCATGGCCGGGATGGTCTTCTGGGGGTCCCGGGCCTCCAGCCAGGGGATGGTGCGCTGGATCCACGCCAGCAGCTGGGGGGACACGATCTAGGCCAGCAGCCGGGGGAGAGGGAATTTGGGGGGTGGGGTGGGATGGGGTTTGGGGCTGGATCCACACCAGCAGCTGAGGGACAGGGATTGGGAATGTGGGAGGGGGTTTGGGGGTGTTTTTGGGGTGGGATTTGGGGTTTTTCCCCCTCACATCCGAGGCCAGGCACCCACAATATTCCATGGGGGGATTTGGGGTGTTTTTGGGGTGTTTTTTGGGAATGTGGGAATGGGAATGTGGGAATGTGGGAATATAGGAATATGGGAAAATGGGATTGGGAATATGGGAATGGGGGAATATGGGAATATGGGAAATGGGAATGGGAATATGGGAAAATGGGATTGGGAATATGGGAATGGGGGAATATGGGAATATGGAAATATGGGAATGGGAAATGGGAATGTGGGAATGTGGGAATGTGGGAAATGGGAATGTGGGAAAATGGGAATATGGGAATGTGGGAATATGGGAAAATGGGATTGGGAATACAGGAATGGGGGAATATGGGAATGTGGGAAAATGGGAATGTGGGAATGTGGGGTTGGGAATATGGGAATATGGGAAAATGGGATTGGGAATACAGGAATGGGGGAATATGGGAATGTGGGAAAATGGGAATACGGGAAAATGGGAATGTGGGAATGGGAATATGGGAAAATGGGATTGGGAAAATGGGAATATGGGAATGGGAATATGGGAAAATGGGATTGGGAAAATGGGAATATGGGAATGGGAATACAGGAATATGGGATTGGGAATGTGGGAATATGGAAATATGATAATATGGGAATATGGGAATATGGGAATGGGGGAATATGGGAATGTGGGAAAATGGGAATGTGGGAATGTGGGGTTGGGAATATGGGAATATGGGAAAATGGGATTGGGAAAATGGGAATATGGGAATGGGAATACAGGAATATGGGATTGGGAATGTGGGAATATGGAAATATGATAATATGGGAATATGGGAATATGGGAATGGGGGAATATGGGAATGTGGGAATGTGGGAAAATGGTAAAATGGGAAAATGGGAAAATGGGAATGTGGGATTGGGAAATGGGGTCAGGGACACCCCCAGCCCCAGGGAAAGGGGCAGAGGGAAGAGGAAGAAAAAAGGAGGAAAGTAGAACAGAAAGGAAAAGTGTGAGAAAAAAGAAGGAAAAAAGGGAAAGTGAAGGAAAAAAAGAAGTGGAAAAGAAGGAGGAAAAAATATAAATGGGAGAAGAAAGAGAGGGAAAGGATGGGAAAATTGGGAGAGAAAAAAGATGGAAGGAAAGAGGAAGAGAAAAGAAAGGGGGAAAAAGGGGGGGAAAAGGGGAAAGAAAGGGGAAAGAAATGGGGGGAAAAAGGGGGAAAAAAGGGTGAAAAAAGGGGGGAAAAGGAGGGAAAAAGGGGGAAAGAAAGGGGAAAGAAAAGGGGAAAGAAAGGGGAAATAAATGGGAAAAGGGGAAAGAAATGGGAAAAAGAGGGAAAAAGGGGAAAAAGGGAAAGAAAGGGGGAAAAGGAGAAAGAAAGGGGGAAAAAAGGGGGAAAAAGGAGAAAGAAAAAGAAAATAAAAGGGAAGGAAAAAGGAAAGGCAGCCCTCTCTGGGCCGACCCTGACGCCGACCCCGACCCGCACGGACTGTCCTGATTTAATTTTTTAATCATTTTATTATGAACCTAAAATGTGGCTGCAAGCTGAATGGCTCCGGTTATCACAATTAATACAAGTAACCACATATCTCCATTCTACAGAGAAGCAAAAATCTTACAGTCCCAAAGAAATTTAGTCTAGAAAAGCATCCTTTTAATATAATTTTGAGCAATTAAAACTTAATTTCAAATGGCTGAGCATATATGTGACTGTAAAAATGTAAGGTAAGATCTTATATATTTGTAATTTTTTTAACGTTCACAAAGACCTGAAAGACAGATACCTGGGTATATAAGCAGAGAGACTAATTTCTAATTTAAAAAAAAAGTTTAAAAAATTAGACAGGAAGTAGCGGAAGGAAGGAAGTGGTGAAAGGAAGGGGAGGGAGGCAGAGGAGGAGTCCAGGAGGAAGAACGCCAGCGGGAAGAGGAAGAGGAGCTGGGAAGGGCCGGGAGGAAGGAAATGAATGGAGGAAATCAATAAATCAAATAAAGGATAAAGGGGGGGAAGGAGGGAGGGAGAGGAGGGAAGGGAATGGAGGAGGCAGGAAAAGGAAGGGGGAAAGGAAGGGGATAAAACAGGGGAAAAGGAAGGGAATAAAACAGGGGAAAAGGAAAGGGATAAAAGGGAAAAAGAAAGGGATAAAGGGGAAAAGGAAGGGGATAAAAGAGGGGAAAAGGAAAGGGATAAAGGGGAAAAGGAAAGGGATAAAGGGGAAAAGGAAGGAAATAAAGGGGAAAAGGAAAGGGATAAAAGGGAAAAGGATAAAGGAAAGGAAAAGGAAGGGAATAAAAGGGGAAAAGGAAGGGAATAAAGGGAAAAGGAAGGGGATAAAGTGCAAAAGGAAGGGGATAAAGAGGAAAATGAAGGGAATAAATGGGAAAAGGAAAGGGATAAAGTGCAAAAAGAAGGAAATAAAGGGGAAAAGGAAGGGAATAAAGGGGAAAAGGAAGGGGATAAAACAAGGGAAAATGAAGGGGATAAAGGAGAAAGGAAGGAAATAAAAGGGAAAAGGATAAAGGAAAGGAAAAGGAAGGGGATAAAATGCAAAAGGAAGGGAATAAAACATGGGAAAGGAAGGGGATAAAGGAGAAAAGGATAAAGGAAAGGAAAAAGAAGGGAATAAAGTGCAAAAGGAAGGGAATAAAGAAAAGGAAGGGAATAAAGGGGAAAATGAAGGGGATAAAGGCAAGGAATGAGGAAGGGAGCACAGGAAGAGCCCCGAGGAAGCCTCAGCAGAGCCAGGCCCCGCTTCCCCTGTGCCCAGGCCAAGCAGAGCAGCAGCCAGGCAGATCCCAGATCCCAGGGCAGATCCCAGATCAGATCCCAGATCCCAGGCAGATCCCAGGCAGATCCCAGGTCAGATCCAAGATCCCAGGCAGATCCCAGGGCAGACCCCAGATCCCAGGGAAGGGCAGCGCGGCTCTCCGGGGCCGGGCTCACCTTCTGGGCCCCGGAGAAGGCGTGGTAGAAGCAGGACACGTAGGTCATGATGGCCTTCTCGTCGGGCCGCAGCGTGCCCACGATATCTGCCCGGGGAGAGCAGAGCGAGCCGCGGCTCCAGCAGCGTTCCCAAAATCCCAGCGCAGGCAGGAAGGCCCTGCCGGGGTCGGGATCCCCCCCCGGGGTGGCTCATGGGGGGTCTGTCCTGCCCTCAACCCCTGGCCTGCCCTGCATGTGGATCCCACCTGGATTTCACATGGATTTCTGTGGAATTTCATGGATTCCCATTGATTTCCCATGGGTTTCCATGGAATTTCATGGATTACCATTAATTTCCCATGGGTTTCCATGGAATTTCATGGATTCCCATGGATTTCCCATGTATTCCCATGGATTCCCATGAATTTCCCATGGGTTTCCGTGGAATTTCATGGATTCCCATGAATTTCCCATGGGTTTCCATGGATTCCCATGAATTTCCCATGGGTTTCCATGGAATTTCATGGATTACCATTAATTTCCCATGGGTTTCCATGGAATTTCATGGATTCCCATTAATTTCCCATGAATTTCTGTGGAATTTCATGGATTCCCATGAATTTTCCCAAGGATTCCTATGAATTTACTGTGTACTCCCATGGATTTCCACTCATTTCCCATGGATTTCTGTGGATTTCCATGGAATCCCGTGGATTCCCATTAATTTCCCATGGATTCCCACGAATTTACCATGGATTCCCATGGATTTCCACAAATTTCCCATGTATTTCTGTGGGTTTCCATGGAATTTCATGGATTCCCATTAATTTCCTACGGATTTCCATGGATTTACCATAGATTCCCATGGATTTCCACAAATTTCCCATGGATTTCTGTGGATTTCCAAGGATTCCTGTGGATTCCCATTAATTTCCTACGGATTTCCACGAATTTACCCTGTATTCCCATGGATTTGCACAGATTTCCCATGGATTTCTGTGGATTTCCATGGAATCCCGTGGATTTTCATTAATTTCCCATGGATTCCCATGGATTTTCCAAGGATTCCCACGGATTTCCAAGGATTCCCATTAATTTCCCATGGATCCCCATGGATTTCTGTGGATTTCCATGGAATGCCGTGGAATCCCATTAATTTCCCATGGATCCCCATGGATTTCCCATGGATTTCCATGGACTTCTGTGCATTTTATGGAATCCCACGGATTTCCAAGGATTCCCACGGATTTCCAAGGATTCCCATTAATTTCCCATGGATCCCCATGGATTTCCCATGGAATCCCACGGGTTTCCAAGGATTCCCACGGATTTCCAAGGATTCCCATGGATTTCCCATGGATCCCCATGGATTTCTCTCGGAATCCTGTGGATTTCCCACTGACTTCTGCGGATTTTTATGGAATCCCGTGGATTTCCAAGGATTCCCATGGCTCCCCGTGGACTTCCCATGTGTTTCACGTGGATTTCCCATTAATTCCCCAGGGATTCCCCCCAAACTCGGGATTCCCAGGCGGATTTAACCCCTCATGAGCCAGCTGGGGGCGGTCCCGGAGCCCCCCCACCCCGAGCGACAGCGGCCGTGGCTGGAAGAGAAGCGAGCGTGAGAGCGGAGAGAGAATTCCAGAGGGGAGGATCCAGGGGGGGAAAATTCCAGAAGGGCGGATCCGGGAGGGAAGATTCCGGAAGGACGGATCCGGGAGGAAGCTCCCGGTACCTTCTGGGCCCCGGAGAAGGCGTGGTAGAAGCAGGACACGTAGGTCATGATGGCCTTCTCGTCGGGCCGCGCTGTGTTGACGATGTCTGCGAGGAACCGCAGGGGTTAAACCGGGAAGGGGCTGGGAGCAAACTGGGAAGGGGCTGGGAGCAAACTGGGAACGGGGCCGGCGCCTCTCCCGGCTGGAATTCCGCTCCCAGGGCCCCTGGGGATCCACCTGGAGGGGCACGGGGTGGGGCGGGACGGGGAAAATCGGGGTTGGGGCAGGCGGCTCCAGGGGGGATCTGGAACTGAGGGGTCCTGGAATTGAGGGGTCCTGGAACTGAGGGGTCCTGGAGTTGTGGGGTCCTGGAATCAAGGGGTCCTGGAATTGAGGGGTCCTGGAATCGAGGGGAATTGAGGGGTCCTGGAACTGAGGGGTCCTGGAGTTGTGGGGTCCTGGAATCGAGGGGTCCTGGAGTTGTGGGGTCCTGGAATCAAGGGGTCAAAGAGTTGTGGGGTCCTGGAGTTGTGGAGTCCTGGAATTGAGGGATGCTGGAATCGAGGGGTCCTGGAATGGAGGGATGCTGGAATCGAGGGGTCCTGGAGTTGTGGGGTCCTGGAATTGAGGGGTCGAAGAGTTGTGGGGTCCTGGAATTTTGGGATCCTGGAATTGAGGGGTCAAAGAGTTTTGGGATCCTAGAATTGAGGGGTCGAAGAGCTGTGGGGTCCTGGAATCGAGGGGTCAAGGAGTTTTGAGGTCCTGGAATTGAGGGATGCTGGAATTGTGGGATCCTGGAATTGTGGGGTCCTGGAATTTTGGGATCCTGGAATTGAGGGGTCAAAGAGTTTTGGGATCCTGGAATTGAGGGGTCGGAGAGCTGTGGGGTCCTGGAATCGAGGGGTCAAGGAGTTTTGAGGTCCTGGAATTGAGGGATGCTGGAATTGTGGGATCCTGGAATTGTGGGGTCCTGGAATTTTGGGATCCTGGAATTAAGGGGTTAAAGAGTTATGGGGTCCTGGGATTGAGGGATGCTGGAATTGTGGGATCCTGGAATTGTGGGATTCTGAAAAAGAGTTTTGGGGTCCTGGAGTTGTGGGGTCCTGGAATTGAGGGGTTGAAGAGTTGTGGGGTCCTGGAATTTTGGGATCCTGGAATTGAGGGGTCAAAGAGTTTTGGGATCCTGGAATTGAGGAATCCTGGAATTGTGGGATCCTGGAATCAAGGGGTCAAAGAGTTTTGGGGTCCTGGAATAATAAATCTGAGAATTATGGGATCCTAGAAAAAGGGAATGCCAGATTTATGGAATGCTGGAATTCCGGAGTCCTGGAATAATGAAACCCGAGGATTATGGGATCCTAGAAAAAGGGAATGACAGATTTTTGGGATGCTGGAATTGTGGAGTCCTGGAATAACAAAATCTGAGAATTATGGGATCCTAGAAGAAGGGAACGCCAGAATTTTGGGATGCTGGAATTGTGGAGTCCTGGAATAACAAAATCTGAGAATTATGGGATCCTAGAAGAAGGGAATGCCAGAATTTTGGGATGCTGGAACTGTGGGATTGTACAGCTGCGGAGTCCTGAGAGTTCTGCACCCCTGGAATTCCAGGATCGTGGAATCAAAGAATTACAGAGCCCTGAGCATCCCAAATCCTGGATAAATCCACCTGGACAGGTGGGAACTGGTGCAAGGAAATCCCCCTGCAGGGCCCGGAAGAGATCCCGGGATCCCCCGGATCCGGAATTCCGCGCTTACCCTCGGCGTCCAGCATCTTGGGAATGTCCAGGTACTTCTCGGCCACCTCGAAGGCGTTGTTGAGGTTGGTGACGGGGTCGTCCTGCGGGGAGGGAGAGGCTCCGTGGGCGGGAATTCCCGAATTCCAGGATTTTCCCAGGGCGACGGTGGGGGTTTACCTTCCGCAGCTTGTCGTACTCGATCAGCTCCGGGCGGTGCCGGTGGATGAGGGCGTTGAAGGCCAGCCCGTCCTTCCAGCTGGGGGGAAAAAAATTTCCTATCCGCAGGGAAAACAGGAGTGAGATCCCAGGAATCCGTGGGGAAAATGGGAGTGAGAGCCCAGGAATTCGCCGGGAAAACGGGAGTGAGATCCCGGGAATCTGCTGGGAAAACTGGGATTGGATCCCGGGAATCCGCGGGGAAAAACGGGAGTGAGAGCCCGGGAATCCGTGGGGAAATTGGGAGTGAGAGCCTGGGAATCCGTGGGGAAAATGGGAATGAGAGCCCGGGAATCCGCCAGGAAAACCGGGATTGGATCCCGGGAATTCGTGGGGAAAACCAGGATTAGATCCCAGGAATCCGCGGGGAAAATGGGAGTGAGATCCCGGGAATCCGCAGGGAAAACCGGGATTGGACCCCGGGAATCCGCGGGGAAAACAGGAGTGAGATCCCAGGAATCCGCGGGGAAAATGGGAGTGAGATCCCGGGAATCCGCAGGGAAAACCGGGATTGGACCCGGGATCGGAGCCCGGGAATCCACGGGGAAAACGGGAGTGAGATCCCGGGAATCCATGGGGAAATTGGGAGTGAGATCCCGGGAATCCGTGGGGAAAACGGGAGTGAGAGCCCGGGAATCCGCGGGGAAAACCGGGATCGGAGCCTGGGAATCTGTGGGAAAAACCGGGATCAGATCCTGGGAATCTGTGGGAAAAACCGGGATCAGATCCCGGGAATCCGCAGGGAAAACAGGAGTGAGATCCCAGGAATCCATGGGGAAAATGGGAGTGAGATCCCGGGAATCCACTGGGAAAACCGGGATTGGATCCCAGGAATCCGCCAGGAAAACGGGAGTGAGAGCCCGGGAATCCATGGGGAAAATGAGATTGGATCTCGGGAATCCACGGGGGAAATGAGGATCGGATCACGGGAATCCGCGGGGAGAACAGGAATCAGATCCTGGGAATCCGCAGGGAAAATGGGGACTAGATCCCGGGAATCCACAGAGAATATGGGAGTGAGATCCCAGGAATCTGCAGGGAAAACCAGGATCGGATCCCAGGAATCCACAGAGAATATGGGAGCGAGATCCCAGGAATCTGCAGGGAAAACCAGGATCGGATCCCAGGAATCCACAGAGAATATGGGAGCGAGATCCCAGGAATCTGCAGGGAAAACCAGGATCGGATCCTGGGAATCCTCAGGGAAAATGGGGATCAGATCCCAGAAATATGGAGGGAAAACCAGGATCAGATTCCAGGAATTCACAGGGAAAATGGGGAATCCATGGGGAAAAGCGGGATCAGATCCCAGGAATCTGTGGGGAAAATGGGGATCAGATCCCAGAAATATGGAGGGAAAACCAGGATCAGATTCCAGGAATTCACAGGGAAAGTGGGGAATCCATGGGGAAACCCGGGATCAGATCCCGGGAATCTGTGGGGAAAATGGGGATCAGATCCCGGGAATCTGTGGGGAAAATGGGGATCAAATCCCGGGAATCCACACGGAATTTGGGAATTCTGACCCTGCCTGAGCCCAGCCTGCCCTGGGGAATGGTTAGAGGAAGAGGAAGAGGAAGGACAAGGACCTGATGTGGAAGTTCTGGACGTTGACGTTCTTGTACGGAGCCGTTTTCCGCTGGCACCAGAGCAGGAGCCCCTCCTTGGCCGAGGTCTCTGCGGGAGAGGATCAGAGACTGGGGGGATCCCGGGGGCAGATCCCGGGGTGGATCCCACAGTCCCAGGGGCAGATCCCAGGGGCAGATCCCGGGGTGGGTCCCACAGTCCCAGGGGCAGATCCCAGGGGCAGATCCCACAGTCCCAGGAACAGATCCCACAGTCTCAGGGATGGATCCTAGGGTGGATCCCATAGTCCCAGGAGCAGATCCCAGGGGTGGATCCCACAATCCCAGGGGCAGATTCTGGGGGCTGATCCCACAGTCCCAGAAGCAGATCCCCCAATCCCAGGGGTGGATCCTAGGGTGGATCCCACCACCCCGGGAGCAGATCCTGTGTGGATCCCACCACCCCAGGAGCAGATCCCGTGTGGATCCCACCATCCCAGGAGCAGATCCCACAATCCCAGGAGCAGATCCCAGCAGCAGATCCCACAATCCCAGCAGCAGATCCCACCGTCCCAGGAGCAGATCCCACAGTCCCAGGAGCAGCTCCCAGGAGTAAGCCCGGGAATCCATGGGGAAAATGAGATTGGATCTCGGGAATCCACGGGGGAAATGAGGATCAGATCACGGGAATCCGTGGGGAGAACAGGGATCAGATCCTGGGAATCCGCAGGGAAAATGGGGACTAGATCCCGGGAATCCACAGAGAATATGGGAGTGAGATCCCAGGAATCTGCAGGGAAAACCAGGATCAGATCCTGGGAATCCTCAGGGAAAATGGGGATCAGATCCCAGAAATACAGAGGGAAAACCAGGATCAGATTCCAGGAATTCACAGGGAAAGTGGGGAATCCATGGGGAAACCCGGGATCAGATCCCGGGAATCTGTGGGGAAAATGGGGATCAGATCCCGGGAATCCACACGGAATTTGGGAATTCTGACCCTGCCTGAGCCCAGCCTGCCCTGGGGAATGGGAAGAGGAAGAGGAAGAGGAAGGACAAGGACCTGATGTGGAAGTTCTGGACGTTGACGTTCTTGTACGGAGCCGTTTTCCGCTGGCACCAGAGCAGGAGCCCCTCCTTGGCCGAGGTCTCTGCGGGAGAGGATCAGAGACTGGGGGGATCCCGGGGGCAGATCCCGGGGTGGATCCCACAGTCCCAGGGGCAGATCCCAGAGTCCCAGGGGCCGATCCCAGGGGCAGATCCCACAGTCCCAGGAACAGATCCCACAGTCTCAGGGATGGATCCTAGGGTGGATCCCATAGTCCCAGGAGCAGATCCCAGGGGTGGATCCCACAATCCCAGGGGCAGATTCTGGGGGCTGATCCCACAGTCCCAGAAGCAGATCCCCCAATCCCAGGGGTGGATCCTAGGGTGGATCCCACCACCCCGGGAGCAGATCCTGTGTGGATCCCACCACCCCAGGAGCAGATCCCGTGTGGATCCCACCATCCCAGGAGCAGATCCCACAATCCCAGGAGCAGATCCCAGCAGCAGATCCCACAATCCCAGCAGCAGATCCCACCGTCCCAGGAGCAGATCCCACAGTCCCAGGAGCAGCTCCCAGGAGCAGATCCCACAATCCCAGGAGCAGATCCCAGGAGCAGATCCCAGCATCCCAGAGCAGATCCCAGCATCCCAGAGCAGATCCCACAGTCCCCGCCAGATCCCGCACAATCCCAGGAGCAGATCCCAGGAGCAGATCCCACCATCCCAGAGCAGATCCCCCCCGTCCCGGCAGCAGATCCCACAATCCCAGGAGCAGATCCCAGGAGCAGATCCCAGAATCCCAGAGCAGATTCCCCCGTCCCAGCAGCAGATCCCACAATCCCAGCAGCAGATCCCAGCAGCAGATCCCACAATCCCAGGAGCAGATCCCACAATCCCAAAGCAGATCCCAGGAGTAGATCCCACAATCCCAGGAGCAGATCCCACCATCCCAGGAGCAGATCCCCCCGTCCCAGCAGCAGATCCCGTCCCGTTACCCTCCACGGAGATGTCCTGGATGGCGAAGCGCAGGATGATCGTCCAGATCATGCCCAGCGTCATCTTGGCGTTCCCGTCCACGATCTCTGCGGGGAAAGCCCCAGGGAATGGATTCCAGGTGGGAATTCCCAGCGGGAATTATGGGGTTTTGGGACCCTGGAACTGGGGGGGCTCCACACCAGCAGAGTCAAAAAATTGTGGAGTCCCAAAATGAATGGATCCCATATTCGGGAATCCTGCAGTAACGGGATCACGGGATCTGGGAATGGTGGGATCCTGCATTTATGGAGTCTTGGGACACAAAGTTCTGGAATTACGGGACCCAAAAATGATAGGAGGCCAGGATTAGGGGATGCAGGATTTGTGGGATTGCAGAACTGGAAGCACAGATCCCATTCCTTGCAGAACCACGGAATCCTGGGATTCTGGAATTGTTTGGGTTGGAAAAGACCTCGGAAACCACGGAGGGAGGAATCCCAGAGGGGAGGGAAGTGGGGAGGAATTCCGGGCTCCCCATCCCGATCCCGCATTCCCAGCACTGCCTCCAGCAGCCCCAGCCCTTGTTTTTTGGGAATTCCTGGGCCGGGGGCGGGTGCCGGGCGTCTCCCGGCTCGGGGCCGGTCGGGACTCGCTCGGCTCCGGGCACGCGGAGCTTTCCCGATCTGGGATCCCAACAAACCGGCCCGGCCGGAGCCGCTGCCAGCCCGGCCCGCCCGGCCCCGGGGGATCCTGTGGGAACGGTCCTGGATCCCGCAGGGAATGGTCCTGATCCCACAGGGAATGACCCAGGATCCCACAGGGAATGTTCCTGGTGATCCCGCAGGGAATGACCCTGGATCCCGCAGGGAATGACCCTGGATCCCACAGGGAATGACCCTGATCCGACAGGGAATGATCCTAGATCCCACAGGGAATGTTCCCGGTGATCCCGCAGGGAATGATCCTGGATCACGCAGGGAATAACCCTGGATCCCACAGGGAATGTTCCTGGTGATCCCGCAGGGAATGACCCAGGATCCCACAGGGAATGACCCAGGATCCCACAGGGAATGACCCAGGATCCCACAGGGAATGTTCCTGGTGATCCCGCAGGGAATGAGCCTGATCCCGCAGGGAATGGTCACGGATCCCGCAGGGAATGGTCACGGATCCTGCAGGGAATGACCCAGGATCCCAAAGGGAATGATCCTGGATCACGCAGGGAATAACCCTGGATCCCACAGGGAATGAACAGGGAATGTTCCCAGTAATCCCGCAGGGAATGATCCTGATCCCACAGGGAATGACCCAGGATCCCACAGGGAATGACCCTGGATCCTGCAGGGAGTGATTCCAATCCCACAGGGAATGGTCCCAGAGATCCCGCAGGCAATGGTCCCGATCTCACAGGGAATGATCCTGGATCCCACAGGGAATGACCCTGGATCCCACAGGGAATGGTCCTGATCCTGCAGGGAGTGATTCCAATCCCACAGGGAATGTTCCTGGATCCCACAGGGAATGATCCCAATCCCACAGGAACAATTCCATCAAAAGCTACAGAACAGCCCTGACCTCCATGAGCAGCACCCGCTGCCTTTGAGTTTGGAATTCTCAGAATTCCTGGAATTCTCATGACTCAGTGGAGGGGCGGTGGCACCACGTGGGTTTGGGTGAAGGTTAAAGCGTTTTGGGTCAAGTTTAAAGGGTTTGGGTCAAGACTAAAAGGTTTGGGCCGAGGTTAAAGGGTTTTGGGTCAGGGTTAAAGATTTTAGCTCAGGGTTCAAGGGTTTGGGTAAAGGTTAAAACCCCTCAAAATCCCAATTTTGGCCTAAAAGGAGTGAACTCCAGGCAGGGCCTCACCCTCGGCGCCGATGGAGACGAGCTTGACGCCCTTGCTGGCGATGAAGTCCAGGGCCTTGTTGACGTTGTTGATCTTGTGCACCCTCATCTTGCCCCGCTCGGGCTTCGGGAGCCGCTCCCCTGCAACGGGACCGGGGTCAGTACTAAAGGGTTTGGGTCAGGACTAAAGGGTTTGGGTCAGGACTGCAGGGTTTGGGGCAGGTTTAAAGGGTTTGGGGCTGGGTTAAAGGGTTTGGGTCAGGGTTAAAGGGTTTGGGTCAGGACTGCAGGGTTTGCGTCAGGACTGAAGGGTTTGGGTCAGGGTTAAAGGGTTTGGGTCAGGGTTAAAGGGTTTGGGGCAGGACTGCAGGGTTTGGGTCAGGGTTAAAGTGTTTGGGTCAGGACTGCAGGGTTTGGGGCAGGACTGCAGGGTTTGGGGCAGGACTGCAGGGTTTGGGGCAGGACTGAAGGGTTTGGGTCAGGCCTAAAGGATTTTGGGTCAGAGTTAAAGTGTTTGGAAAGTTTCAGCACTTTGGGCCCAGCGGGGGGGTTTCTGGGCTGAGTTTGAGGGTTTTTGGGCCCAGGTTAAGGATTTGGGCTCAGTTTAAGGATTCTGTGCTCAGGCCTGACCTGAGATGACCTCGAGCAGCAGCATCAGCTTGAGCCCGTCCCGGAAATCCTCGTCGATGTTCTCGATCTGCGTGCCGGCCTTGCGCAGGTGGGAGTTGCACCAGGCCGTGAACGTCTGCGGGGCCAGGCCGGGGTCAGCGGGACCCCCGGGGTTTGGGGGGACCCCCGGGGTTTGGGGAGACCCCCGGAGTCAGCAGCAGACCCCTGGGGTGTGCAGGGACCCCCGGGGTTTGGGGGGACCCCCGGGGTTTGGGGAGACCCCCGGAGTCAGCAGCAGACCCCTGGGGTGTGCAGGGACCCCCGGGGTTTGGGGAGACCCCTGGGGTGTGCAGGGACCCCCGGGGTTTGGGGAGACCCCCGGGGTTTAGGGAGACCCCCGGGGTTTGGGGAGACCCCCGGAGTCAGCAGCAGACCCCTGGGGTGTGCAGGGACCCCCGGGGTTTGGGGGGACCCCCGGGGTTTGGGGGGAAAATGGGGAACTGGGGGTCTGCTGGGAATGATCCCACTGGGAATGACCCCATTGATCCCAGCAGGAATGACCCCGGGTTATTGATCCCATTGGGAATGATCCCACTGATCCCAGTGGGAATGACCCCATTGATCCCAGAAGGAATGACCCCGAGTTATTGATCCCAGTAGGAATGACCCCACTGATCCCAGCAGGAATGACCCTGGGTTATTGATCCCAGCAGGTATGATCCCACTGGGAATGACCCCGGGTTACTGACCCCACTGGGAATGACCCCAAGCCTTCCATCCCCCAGCAACGCCCGATCCCACAACCCCCAGCTCCAGTTATTTGTGGAGCTGGGACATCTCCACCCCAAAATCTGCTTAGAGGGCCACACTTTGGGATCAGGAACCTGCTCAGGACAGATCCCTGCCGGCTCCAAGCCCGGGACCCAGCCCCAAATCCAGCAGGAAACCAGGACTGACCCTCCCAGATCTGGGAACGCCCCAGGATTCCCAGGAAGATCCCAGTTTTGGGGTCACTGTGGGATTGCCGTGGGCTCCCGGGCGGCTCCGGGGCGGTGCCGGGACTTTGGCCGGTGCCAGGCTTGCACATGCCTGTGCCAGGCGCGGCCGGGCGCGGCCCCGCGGGCACCGACACGCACCGAAAAGCCAAAAATCCCTTCCAAAACCCGGGAAAACTCTTCCAAATCCCAGGAATTTCTGTGCTGAGGGAACCCTCGCTGCTCCCCCCAGACCCGGGACATTCCCACAGCCCCAAAGCTGAAGGTTTTCCCCCAAAATTTGGGAATTTGGGAGGTTTAAAGGGCGGGATGGATGGGAAGCAGGGGGGGGCTGGTGGAATCCGGGATAAAATCCGGGATAAAATCCGGGATAAATCAAGCCTGGAGCGACCCCCCCACCGCCACCCCGCGTTCCGGACAGAAATAACCATCCCAAAAATGCCTAAAAAAGGAGATTCCGCACGGGCCTCTGGAATTTCCTTCCCACGGAACCGCTGGAAAAGCGTTTTCCAGGCATTGTGTCAGGGCCGGCCGCAGGCGGGACCCCTCCCCTGCCCTCCCCCACCCCAAATCCCGGCATTTTGGGGCTGGGAAAGGAGCTCCAGCCCTACTTTCATCTCTATTCTCCTCGATTTTTCCATCAAAAGTTTTGGAAAGTGGCGGCGGGGAGGAAAATCCACCTCGTTCCTGCCCAGAATTTGGGATTCCAGAGCTGGAGGATGCGTTTACCCCAAAGATTTTGGGATTGGGGAAGGGGTTTATCCCACTTTTCATCCCTCTTTTCCTCTCTTTGTCCATGAAAACCACTGGGAAGCAGCAGCAGGGAGGAAAACCTGCCTCCTCTTCCTCCTTTCCATGGAAAAATTGGGGAATTTCAGGAGGAAAACACATTTTCCTCCCTATTTTCTTCCGGTTTTCCCCTAAAAATTGGGAATTTCAGGAGAAAAAATGTGTTTTCCTCCCTATTTTCCTGCATTTTTTCCCCTAAAACCCCAACTTTGGGATGGAAAATCCCTTGGGAAGAAGGTGGGATGTGTTTGTGACCGATCCCGAGGGATATTCCAAATTTTTTAAGGGAAAATTCCTAATTTTGGGCACTGGGCACACTGCCTGGGGGAATTTTTTTTTCCAGGAGCTCCTCAGGGACAGCGATTTATCCCCAAAAAAACCCCAAATTGGGATTTTCCTTTGGGAGCCTCCCAGAATTCCTCATTTTTGGGTCTTTTTTGGGGAGCCCCGGGAATGCCAACCCTGAGAATTCCTGGTGGGAATAAGCCCCCCCACCCCGGGCGGGTTTTGGGGTTTTTCCCGTGGTTGGAGCCCCCAAAATCCCCAAAAATGCCCAAAATTGAGGTCGTTAACGAGGCTTCGTTAGGGCAGGAAGGAATTCGCTCCCACATCCCCAAATTCCCGTTAAAACGGAGCTGAAAGAAAATTCCAGAGGGAATAAAAAACTCATCCAGGCGTTCCCCTGGGCTCGTTAGCGGGGGTTAATTAACGTCATTTGCATAATTAACATAATTAACGAGGCGCCGCTTGTCCGAGGAGAGGGAAAAAGGAGGAAAAATCGGAGGAAATGACCCGAAATCCACGACGAGGGGACAGAAATCTGGGGAAAAAACAGGGGAAGTGATGAAAAAATGAGGAAAAGTCACCCAGAAATCAGGGAAAAAAGTGGGGAAAACTGCCAAAAATTCAGGGAAACGGAGGGAAAACTGGGAAAACGAGCAGAAAACTGGGAATGTGATGATAACACCAGGAAAAGTGGCTCAAAACCAAGGAAAATGACCAGAAACCAGGAAAAATTCCACCAAAAAATTGGGAAAACGACCAGAAAATTTGGGAAAAAGGCAAAAAATCTGGAGCAAAGTCAAAAAAAGTCAGGAGGTTACCCAAAAAAAATCAGGAAATGGGACCAAAAAAATGGGGAAAAACAATTAGAAAGGGCAGGAATTAACAAAATCATGATGGGAAATGACTGAAAATCGGGAAAAACGAGCAAAATTTGAGGGAAAATGTTATTAAAAATTAGGAGAAATGGTACAAATTTGGGGAAGAGGAGCAGAAAAAAGGGAATGTGAGGATTTGGGGTGGTGCTGTGTCCAGTCCCTGTCACCCCCCGGCTCTTCCCCTCCCCCTGGAATGTTTTTGCTGTTGTTTTTTTGGATGTTTTTTGTTGCTCCCGGGGGAGGCTGGAGCGTGGAATTCTCCTCATTCCTTGCCCTTATTCGGCTCCGGGCCGGGATTTTTGGGAATAACGCCGGGCAGGATGCTCAGCTCCCCCCACTCCGTAGCGCAGGTTTTTTGGGGTTTTTTTTGGGGTTTTTTTTTGGGTTTTTTTTCGGGCCGCAGGTGGGTCAGGGCGTGCCCGCATTCCACGCGGGATGAGCGGCTCCGACGCCCGGCCACGCCTCGCACCTCGGGGTGCGGCGAAATCCCAAAAAAAAAAGCAATTTTGGGGAGGTTTTCCAGGTCGGAACAACGCGCACGTGCGTTATTCCGTGATTTCTTCACCCAAAAATCGCTCCTGTAGCCGAGGATGGGATGAGATTCCCGCGATGGGGGGGTGGGAAGGAGATGGAAATGGTCCAAAAATGGGGAAAATAGAGAAATGTCCCTGAAATGAGGAGCAGAGGGAGGAAAGAGCACGCTGAGGGGGGGGATGCTCCTGGACCCCCACGCTGCACCTGGGAGGGAGCCCCAGGAATTTCGGGAGTTCTCTTCCCAGGGCATCCCGGCTGGGAGGAAAAAACACCTGGATGGGGCAAAAAAATCTGTATTTTATGGAAATAAAAGCACCTGGTTGGGGCAAAAATCCGGCATTTTATGGAAATAAAAGCATCTGGTAGGGGTGAAAAATTCTGCATTTTGTGGAAATAAAAGCACCTGGTTGGGGCAAAAAATCATGTATTTTGTGGAAATAAAAGCACCTGGTAGGGGTGAAAAATTCTGCATTTTATGGAAATAAAAGCACCTGGTTGGGGCAAAAATCCTGTATTTTATGGAAATAAAAGCACCTGGTTGGGGCAAAAAAATCTGCATTTTATGGAAATAAAAGCATCTGGTAGGGGTGAAAAATTCTGGGGTTTATGGAAATAAAAGCACCTGGTTGGGGCAAAAATCCTGTATTTTATGGAAATAAAAGCACCTGGTTGGGGCAAAAAATTCTGCATTTTATGGAAATAAAAGCACCTGGTTGGGGTGAAAAATCCTGGGTTTTATGGGAGGAAAAACACTTGTTCAAGGCAAAAACTGGGAGGAAAAACACCTGTTTGGGGTAAAAATTCCTGGGAGAAAGAACACCTGTTAGGGGCAAAAATTCCTGGTGTTTTATGGGAGGAAAAACACGTGTTTGGGGCAAAAATTCCTGGGTTTTATGGGAGGAAAAACACTTGTTCAAGGCAAAAAATCCTGGTGTTTTATGGGAGGAAAAACACGTGTTAGGGGCAAAAATTCCTCTGTTTTGTCTGGGGCATAAAATCCTGGAACAAAGAACACGTGTTAAGGGCAAAAATTCCTGGGTTTTGTTGGAGGAAAAACACTTGTTCAAGGCAAAAACTGGGAGAAAAAAACCACCTGTTTGGGGCAAAAAATCCTGGGAGAAAGAACACCCGGTTAGGGCAAAAATTCCTGGTGTTTTATGGGAGGAAAAACACGTGTTTGGGGTAAAAATTCCTGGGGTTTTATGGAAGGAAAGTCACCTGTCTGGGGAAAAAATTCCTGTGTTTTATGGCAGGAAAACCACGTGGTTAGGGAAAAATTCCTGCGAGGAAAAACACCTGTCTGGGGCAAAAAATCCTGGGAGAAAGAACACCTGTTAGGGGCAAAAATTCCTGGGTTTTATGGGAGGAAAAACACTTGTTCAAGGCAAAAACTGGGAGAAAAAAACCACCTGTTTGGGGCAAAAAATCCTGGGAGAAAGAACACCCGGTTAGGGCAAAAATTCCTGGGTTTTATGGGAGGAAAAACACTTGTTCAAGGCAAAAACTGGGAGGAAAAACACCTGTTTGGGGCAAAAAAAAATCTGGGTTTTTAGTTTTTGTGGTGGGTTTAGGAAGGGAGGGAGGGAGGGAGGAAGGAAGGAAGGAAGGAAGGAAGGAAGGAAGGACAGACGGACTCGGCGAGGGGCCGGGTTCCGTTCCCGCTGCTCTCCCGCTGCTCCGGCCGCATTGTTGGAATTCCAGAGAATTCCAGAGGCGAATCCCCGGGGCCCGTCCCGCACCCAAATGCGGGAATTCGGTGGAGAAACCGGAGCTGCCCCGGGAGCCGGAGCGACCCCAGCCTCATGGCTGGGGGGGAAAAGCAGATTCCCAAATTCCCCAAAAACGGGAGGAAGCAATCCCTGCACCCCGCTCATTAACAGCTAATTAACCCCTGGCGCAGAGCTCGTCCATCAATCCAGCCGCGGGAAATCCGCCCCAAATCCTGAAAAAACCCACGGGGAAAATTCCCATTCCGGGCAGAGGGGAAGCAACAGGAACCGGGTGGGAAACGTGGGAGAGGAGTGGGAAGCGCCGGGAATGGCAGGAAGCGCAGGAGGAAGAGGAGGAGGAAGAGGAGGAGGAAGCTCATCCGGCGCTTCCTGTGCCAAAAATAATCCAACTTCGCCCGGTTTTTTCTTAGAAAAACCTGGAAATCGCAGGTAACCACGGCAACGGAGCGCAGCAGTGCCGGCCCCGAGTGTCCCCAGGACGGGGGTTCCCCCGAAATGTCCCAAAACTGAGGGGATTCACCCCAAATTCAGGGAGCTCAGCCCAAAACGGAGGGAACTCGCCTTCAGTTTCGGGGAATTAAACACAAAACACGCGGAACTCAACCCAAAATTAGTGAACTGGAACGGGAGGGAATGCAAGCAAGGCACAGGAACTGAACACAAAACTCACGGAGCTCGCGGCAGAACTCAGGGAAGGGAACCCCAAAGGGCGGGGGTTCACCCCAAACTGGGAATGGAACCCCAAACTGGGAATGGAACCCCAAACTGGGAATGGAACCCCAAACTGGGAATGGAACCCCAAACTGGGAATGGAACCCCAAACTGGGAATGGAACCCCAAACTGGGAATGGAACCCCAAACTGGGAATGGAACCCCAAACTGGGAATGGAACCCCAAACTGGGAATGGAACCCCAAACTGGGAATGGAACCCCAAACTGGGAATGGAACCCCAAACTGGGAATGGAACCCCAAACTGGGAATGGAACCCCAAACTGGGAATGGAACCCCAAACTGGGAATGGAACCCCAAACTGGGAATGGAACCCCAAACTGGGAATGGAACCCCAAACTGGGAATGGAACCCCAGGAATTCACCCCGAAGTGCAGGAATTCGCCCCAAACACAGGGACCGTCCCCGGAGCCGGGAGTGCCCCGTCTCCAATGATTAACCCGGAACACTCCGGCGCCCGCTCGGAATTCCGGGCCAGCCCCTCCCAGCTCCCGGCGGTTCCCACGCCCGAGGGTCCCGGTTTTTTTTGGGGTGGGGGCGATGGAGGGGACCCCCCGCAGCTCCCGATGCCCCGGGAAGGCGGCGGATCCCGGCTGATCCCAGCGGATCCCCCCTTTCCCCAGTGCCCTTTATCCCATCCCGCAGCTCTGCGGAAGCTTCTCCGCCCGGAATTGGGGGGGGACCCTCCGGACCCCCCCCCCCGGAACCAGAGAAAATCCCTCGGCTTGGCTCCAGCCGGGCTGTCTGCTCCTCACAGCCCCCTCCCCAGCATGGGAGACCCCCGAACTCAGCCCTGGGGCACCCCAAAGTTCAGCCCTCAGGTGTGGTACCCCCCCCCAAACACAGCTCTGGGGGTCCACAAAGTTCAGCCCTCACCACTCAGGTGTGGTACCCCCCCCAAACACAGCTCTGGGGGTCCCCAGAGTGTCCCCCCTCACCCCTCAGGTGTGGTACCCCCCCAAACACAGCTCTGGGGGTCCCCAGAGTGTACCCCCTCACCCCGCAGGTGTGGTACCCCCCCCCAAACACAGCTCTGGGGGTCCCCAGAGTGTCCCCCCTCCCCCCTCAGGTGTGGTCCCCCCCCAAACACAGCTCTGGGGGTCCACAAAGTGTTCCCCCCTCACCCCTCAGGTGTGGTACCCCCCCAAACACAGTCCCGGGGGTCCCCAAAGTTCAGCCCTCACTACTCAGGTGTGGTACGCCCCCCCCAAACACAGTCCTGGGGGTCCCCAAAGTTCAGCCCTCACCACTCAGGTGTGGTACCCCCCCCAAACACAGCTCTGGGGGTCCCCAAAGTTCAGCCCTCACTACTCAGGTGTGGTACCCCCCCCAGACACAGCCCTGGGGGTCCCCAAAGTGTCCTCCCCACCCAGTTACGGGGGTCCCTCCCCCTCTGACCCTGCTCAGGGACTCCCCCAAAAGTCCCCCAGAGCCGGCTCGGGGACAGCGGGGACACCCTGAGCCCCCCCAGACTCCTCAGGGACCCCTCAGAGATGCCCCCCAAAGGCCCTGACACCCCTCAAATGTCCCTGCCCCGGGCTGGGACCGCTCAGAGAGGTCCCTGTGCCCCTTTAGATCCCCCAAACCTCCCTGTCCCGGGCTCTGACCCCCTCATGAACCCCTCAGGGACACCCCCAGCCCCCTCTGGGACCCCTCAAGGGAACCCCTCAGACGTGAATCCCCTCAGGGATCACTTCAGACACCGCAGGATCCCTCATGGATCCCCTCAGACACCCGAGGATCCCTCATGGATCCCCTCAGGGAACGCCCAGACACCCGAGGATCCCTCATGGATCCCCTCAGACACCCCAGGAATCCTCATGGATCCCCTCAGGGACCTCTCAGACACCCCAGGATCCCTCATGGATCCCCTCAGGGACCCCCCAGATCCCCCTGCACCGCGCTCCGACGCCTCCGAGACCCCTCAAACCCTCCAGACCCCTCAGGAAACGCCTCAGGCTCTGAAATCCCCTCAGGGACCCCTCAGCCCCTCACGATCGCCCCTCAGTGACCCCCCCCCAGCCCCCCCCACCTTGCGCTGCTGTTTCTCCCAGGCGGGGTCCAGGAGCAGATCCCGATCCCAATCGTCCTCCTGGGCCATGTAGTCGCCATTGGGGCCGGGCCCGTTCCCGCCGTACGGGTGGGGCTGCCCCGCGCTGTGGTAATCCACCATTATCGCCGCCCTGATGTCGCGACAGGCGGAGGACGCGCCAGCGACACGGACCCTATTCGGCCCCCCCCCGCGCCCCGACTGCGCACGCGCCGCCGCCCAGGCCGCGCCCACAGCGCCGCGCGCGCACGGGCAGGGCGGAGCCACGCCCTCAGGCGTCACGGGAGGCCACGCCCATCACCACACCCACAGCCCTCACGGAACCGAGGCCACACCCATAATGCGTTTAAACTCCGCCCACCGCTCCCCACCCTCAGGCGCGCCCCAAGCCACGCCCGCTCAAAGCCACGCCCGCTCAAGGTCACGCCCACCTCCCCTCAGACGCCCCCCTCCATTTTGACGCCCCCCCAAGAATGAGCCCAGTCCCACTTTGGAGCCTCTTTACTGGTTAAACTGGGCAGGGTCGGGGTTGGGGGGTTGGAATTGGGGGGTCCGTGTTGAGGGCTCGCTCCTGAGGGGCTCAGAGAGAGGATGCCATGATGCTGGACACACCTGGGAGAAAAAGAGGTGAGCTGGGGGGGGGCTCAGGACACCAATCTCCCTCAGAAACCTCTGGGCCTCTCCCCAGACCCCCTAAAGCCACCCAAAACTCCTCAGGACACCCCCAGGACCCGCCTGTATTGCCCCAACCCTGCCCCAAAACCTCCTCCAGATCCCCCAAACCTCCTCCAGGACCCCAAAATCTCCATGGGATCTCCCTGCATCCTCCCAACACCCCCCAAAACCCCCCGAGGACCCCCCCCAAAACTTCCCTAAACTCCCACCAGGATGCCCCAAACCCCCCCCTCAGGACCCCCAACCCACTGTCGAAGTCGATCTTCTCCACGATGTTCTTGGGTTTGATGTTCTCCTCCTGGTTGGAGATCAGGATCCGCCCCGGCTCTGGCTCCGTCCACCCGTATTTGCTCATCCACACCCTCAGCTGCGACTCTGGGGGGCACAGCGGGGTCTGGGGGGGGGCTCTGACACCCCCTAGAGACCCCTAAAACCCCCCCCATGGCCCCCCAAACCCTTCAGGACTCATTTGGGGTATCCCAGGATACGTGAGCCTGGTCGATCATGCACTTGCAGAGGGTGAAGTCCCCCTGGATTTGGGGGTTCCCTGGGGGGTTCCCTGTGTTTGGGGTGTCCCAGATTTGGGGTCCCCCCCAGATTTGGGGTATCCCAGGATACGTGAGCCTGGTCGATCATGCACTTGCAGAGGGTGAAGTCCCCCTGGATTTGGGGGTTCCCTGGGGGGTTCCCTGTGTTTGGGGTGTCCCGGATTTGGGGTCCCCCCAGATTTGGGGTGTCCCAGGATACGTGAGCCTGGTCGATCATGCACTTGCAGAGGGTGAAGTCCCCCTGGATTTGGGGGTTCCCTGGGGGGTTCCCTGTGTTTGGGGTGTCCCGGATTTGGGGTCCCCCCAGATTTGGGGTGTCCCAGGATACGTGAGCCTGGTCGATCATGCACTTGCAGAGGGTGAAGTCCCCCTGGATTTGGGGGTTCCCTGGGGGGTTCCCTGTGTTTGGGGTGTCCCGGATTTGGGGTCCCCCCAGATTTGGGGTGTCCCAGGATACGTGAGCCTGGTCGATCATGCACTTGCAGAGGGTGAAGTCCCCCTGGATTTGGGGGTTCCCTGGGGGGTTCCCTGTGTTTGGGGTGTCCCGGATTTGGGGTGCCCCCCCAGATTCGGGGTATCCCAGGATACGTGAGCCTGGTCGATCATGCACTTGCAGAGGGTGAAGTCCCCCTGGATTTGGGGGTTCCCTGGGGGGTTCCCTGTGTTTGGGGTGTCCCGGATTTGGGGTGCCCCCCCAGATTCGGGGTATCCCAGGATACGTGAGCCTGGTCGATCATGCACTTGCAGAGGGTGAAGTCCCCCTGGATTTGGGGGTTCCCTGGGGGGTTCCCTGTGTTTGGGGTGTCCCGGATTTGGGGTCCCCCCAGATTTGGGGTGTCCCAGGATACGTGAGCCTGGTCGATCATGCACTTGCAGAGGGTGAAGTCCCCCTGGATTTGGGGATTTCCCTGGGGATTTCGGGGCTCCCCCTGGTTTTGGGGGTTCCTTGGGGGGTTCCCCCTGGATTTGGAGGTTCCCTGGGGGGTTCCCTGTGTTTGGGGTGTCCCGGATTTGGGGTGCCCCCCCAGATTCGGGGTATCCCAGGATACGTGAGCCTGGTCGATCATGCACTTGCAGAGGGTGAAGTCCCCCTGGATTTGGGGATTTCCCTGGGGATTTCGGGGCTCCCCCTGGATTTGGGGGTTCCCTGGGGGGTTCCCTGTGTTTGGGGTGTCCCGGATTTGGGGTCCCCCCAGATTTGGGGTGTCCCAGGATACGTGAGCCTGGTCGATCATGCACTTGCAGAGGGTGAAGTCCCCCTGGATTTGGGGGTTCCCTGGGGGGTTCCCTGTGTTTGGGGTGTCCCGGATTTGGGGTCCCCCCAGATTTGGGGTGCCAGGATACGTGAGCCTGGTCGATCATGCACTTGCAGAGGGTGAAGTCCCCCTGGATTTGGGGGTGCCTTAGGGGGGTTTCCTCTGGATTTGGGGGTTCCTTGGGGGGTTTCCCCTGGATTTGGGGGTTCCCTGTGTTTGGGGTGTCCCGGATTTGGGGTGCCCCCCCAGATTTGGGGTGTCCCAGGATACGTGAGCCTGGTCGATCATGCACTTGCAGAGGGTGAAGTCGGTGTGGGGCAGGTTGGTGAGCGCCTTGAGCAGGATCTGCGCCGTCACCCCGGTCTGGAAGAAGGCGGGGTTGAACTGGTACCTGCACAGGTGAGCCCAGGTGAGCCTGGGGGAGCTCAGGGACCCCCAAACCCCAGCGTGAGCCCCCCCAAAATCCCCCTGGAGCCCTCACAGCTTCAGCACGGCCAGGTTGGCCTCCAGGTCGTAGGCGTTCTCCTTGGCCTGCGTCTCCACGTAGCGCTCCAGCGTGGCCAGGTTCTCGGGGT